GAATGCCACAAATTCTCCTAAATCACTCGTACGCACAATTTAAGAACAAATCTGTGCGTACGAACGGTTCTTGCATGAGGCCCAATGAGAGCTTTTGTTTCTTTTCTTCCAGGGAGCCTGAGGATGTGTCAGCTGTGTGTGTTTTCAGTCTGTCTGACATCGGCAAAGTGATGGACGGTCCTTTCAAAGAGCTGAAGAAACCTTACGACAACTGGATCAATCCTGATCCAGTTCCGAATCCAAGACCTGGACAGGTACCAACACTACCTGTTCCCATTGAAAAACCTATTACTGCTGATTTTACTTGGTTTAGAAATATTTTTCTCATTACAATGTATTCATTTACTACAAATAAGAATTCAAAACAAAAAGAAAACCTTAAAGGTAGTATATTTAAATTTAAAGTCTTATATTTTCATTTTTTCTTAATGAACTTGCTGGTTATATTTGCTATATATAAATTAGCTATATTTGCAGTGTAATTCCACAGGTTAAAACATTCTTATTTTTCTTTTCAGTGTTTGAACAACGAGCTAAAGGCTGAAGGATTTGAGTCGTCCCTGAAGCTCCCTGACAAGGTGCTGACGTTTGTGAGAGACCACCCCCTGATGGAGAACAGCGTCACTGCGGCCCCCCTGTTGGTCCGGAGGGGAATCAAATACACCAAGCTGGCTGTGAAGCTGACAGGAAGTGCGGAGGAGCGCCAAGCAGCATTGCTGCATCTTGGAACAGGTGAGGACTGCAAACCATAATCTGTATCTGGACCTGAAGTTCTGTCCAAAAGTCTTGAGGAAGCTCAGGTCTGATTTGGAGTGATTTGTAGAAGGGAATACAGCTTCAAGCACAAAAAGTCTAAACTAAGAGAAGGAACCGGTTGTAGCTTCAGTATTTGTTGCTACAGCTGAGCATGTTTGTACCAACAGGGTTAGCTGAAAACATGAAACCTGAGTGATGAACTGAATGAAAGGTGATGAATCTTTGCAGGACTTTTTCCTCGTGATGTGCGTATCGATACCTAAATTTCAATATCAGAACTTCATGCTCTAGAATCGATACTAAAATCAAAATATTGATGCTTCAATCATTTCAGGAAACGTATTTTATTAACTGAAACATGAAGGAAAATAAGTAAACTAAGGAAATTTTGTCTAAATGAAACAGAGTTGGTGGAAACTACTTTTTCTTCCGCCTAGGTTACATGTTCTGTATTTTAATATAATACATTCATGTAACATAAATTAAGACTGAAGTTTTCATTTTTATATCAGTTCTCGATAACAAAACAATCATTTATTCACTGGTTTTATAATTTTACTTCTTTTTTTATTGTTTAAATGATTTTATGTGATTGTTTACTCTGGTTTTTCTGCTTTATTAGCTTGTCTGTATTGCAAATAAGGGCAGATGAGTTTAAAATGAATAAATAGATTACTACGGTTTCATTTATGAAGCAATGATTTGAAATACAGTACTTTTTAAAGATTTAGACATTAGGTGTATTTGTACACGTATCAGTTCTGGATCAGTATCAGTATCACCGATGCCAGCCTGATTTTCACTCAATGACAGAATCAGAAACGTTGATATCAAACATCACTACTGTTTTCTGGTTCTTTTTAGCAGTGTTGTATAAAGTACCACAAAGTGATACTTGCGTAAAAGTACAAGTATCTGACTGTAGTGGTCACCTCGAGGTGGAATAAACAGTTCCATCTGTCTTTGACCCTAATCTCAGAAGATCTCCCTCAGAAGAGACATTTTTTAAATTTTATTTAATCAAGATAATAAACAAAATAATAATGTTCTTTATATGTTTGATTTATATTTTCTTTTAACTGAAAGTTATTATCATTTTATAAATCAAAGTTATATAATGAAAATAATGACAATCTATCTTTTGCATTATAATTAAGAAAAAGAAAAAAAACACACAAAAAGAATATTGTTCCAATGTTCCTTTATTTATTTTACACAAATCTTTGCTTAATCAACTGTTATTTGACAGTAAAGTCATTAAGGAACTATATCGTATTAAAATAATTAATTTATGTTAAATTTAGGATGCACTAGTTTAGCTGTTTCAGTTTATATCAAGGCTGCCCAAACCTTTTCTCCAAAATGAAAATCTATCTGAGGGCTGCAGCCAAATACAAAAATATAATTCATGAAATACAAATACTTCTTAAGTACAGTCCTTTTATTTGAATGATTATGTCCTGCTGGAGTGTGACATGATTTGTTTGTGTACAAACTAATACAGTATCAGAGTTTTATGTATTTATACTTCTCATTCAACCACAATTAAATTCACTCTATCTAGGAGGCACAGTTTATAAGGATAGTATTTATTTTTTACAATAACAAGCTGGAATGAAAATAAGCAAAAATGAAATAAAAGTAACAACTTTCTACTTATTGCTCTTTTTAAAATGTAAGGAGTAGAAAGTACAGATAACTGTGTGAAAATGTAAGACGCAGAAGTAAAAAGTAGGCTGAAAAATAATTATTCAAGTACAGATACCCCAAAATTCTACTTAAGTACAGTAACAAAGTATTTGTACGTAGTTACTTTACAACTCTGCATTTTAGTCCCAACACTTCAGCCACTACAGAAGATATTATTGAACAACCTGCACACCTTGCTTACAATAATCCAAGTGCTTAAAGAATTGATATGTCTAAGAAGATTAATACAACAATGACAAAATAAATAAATGCTCTCAAGCTGTTTAGTTACAAGGAAGTTAAAAATAATAGAAAATCTGTCAAAACATAATAAAAAATAAAATAATATTTGGACGTTATTGTTCAGGTACACATTAAATACTGTATATATGACTTTGGTAAAAACATGAAAAGAAGCTGAAATATTCTCTTTCAAACTGTGCTGTTTGGCTTTTCAAACTGAAATAAAAAAGCGGTAAAATGCTTAAAAAAGTTAACGTTTTGTTGTTGCAGACCGTGGGGAGCTCCACCAGGTGGCAGTAGTGGGCCTGAATGCCACTTTACTCCAAGAGATTCCTCTGTTTTCTCCACAGGAGCCTGTTAATAATATAATCCTGCATCAGGTAAGGCACATCCACCCACGGCTCATGATGAAGCTGTGTGTTTGTGTGTGTGTGTGTGTGTGTGTGTGTGTGTGTGTGCAGTGTGCAGTGGTTCTGTAAGGCTTCTCTGTGGTTTCAGGGTGCGGCGCTGGTGGGAAGCCCTCTGTCTGTGGCTCGGGTCCAGACTGAAGGCTGCGCTCTGTATCGCAGCTGTGAGGTCTGTGCCAGAGCCCGAGGACTGGGCTGTGTGTGGAGCTCAGAGGAAAACACCTGCCAGTCAACACAAGAAAAGTGAGAACTACAAAATAACAGCGAACTTTAAATCGTTTTTAGTCAAACTGTAATTAAATGAACAACTTTTACATTATTTTTGTGTATTTCAGCCCCGGTCCTGGTGATATTGTGGATAATGCCTTAAAAAAGTGTCAAACACATGAGAGTAAGCCCAATCCAATTCACGTAAAATAAATATGATCAAGCAGCTCATTTATTTTCGACCTGTCAGGTAACTGGTCTGGTTCTGGTTCCCACCTTCAGGCCGTTGCCACCCAGCTATAAGGGAGCTGAAAGTGGCCGTGGGACTACGCATCCTGCTGCCATGTGTCCAGCTGTCCCCCCGGCCCTGCAGCTGGGACCACCCCCCACACAGACACACCAGGCAGCACAACTCCGACTTAGAGGTGACCGTCTCAGAGGACAGCCTGGGGACATACATCTGCACATGCCAGGTATGGAGGAATGACAAAAACAAAACTTTACACTTCAAAGATTTTTTTAACCACGCTTTTTACTGTTTTGAAGAACAAATATTAACAAAAACTAGGGGTGGTTGTGTTGATTTAAGTACTAATACCAAATTGAGTACTGGATCTAAAGAAGCGGGAAGAGATTGATTCTTTTGTTTACACTTTATTTTTCACAAATAAAAGGAAAAATAAAGTCAGTAATGCAGAGACTCCAAATTACAAATTAAAAATTACAAATTAGTTACACTGCGCCTACATTCAATGGAAGTTTTTTTTTCTTGTTGTTGATATCGTTCTGTTTTATTTTACATTGCTGATTTTTTTTTTGTTACTTTGCAAGAGGGAATTTTTCTTAAACAACTGTGTGCAGAAGAAGGTAATTAAGGGATTATTTTTTTTACTCAATACTCTGAGTAAAAAGACCTCAAATTTCTTAAATTCTTTAAAAAATATTTAAGTTAGTCTTAAATATGTTATTAAAAGATCTTTAATTTTGTTGGGCTGGAGGAATTAAAGTTCTCCATCTCTGCAGCATGTTTCCTGGAAGTGAGGAGGACAAATAAAAACATGTTGTTCTGTAGAGATTTAACTGACGCTGTTTTCAACCCATACAAAAACCAAAGTCACAGTTTTAGCCAATCAGAAGCTGCTTTTCATATTAGTGGCAAACAATAACAGTAACAACAGCTTTTTGACAAGTTTAAAGTTTCTTTA